TCAATAGGTGAAAATTTACTCTGCTATTAAGATTGTTCTGGTTTATTAATTTATTTAATTGATTTATTGGTCATTTGTACCCTGCCTCTCCAGAAATACCTTGAGGAGGCTAAAGAGATTAAAGGAGGAATGATTCCATTAAGGGAATATGGTGGTCCTGGGTTTTTTTTAAAGCTATATTCTCTGGTGATTCAGGCAGTACCAATAAAAAGGTAAGTGACAAAGCTCAACATTTGGTTCAGTTTTTAGGAAGGGTTGCATAGTCCAACTCTCAGGGGATAGCAGTTGTTGAATCATCCCATAATAAATTCTTCATTGTAGAGGAGTGAATTGCTGTTGCATGCAAGGACAGAGTAATCCTTTAAGAACATAAGAACATAAGAGACGCCAATGTTGGATCAGGCCAAAGGCCCATCCAGTCCAACACTCTGTGTCACACAGTGGCCAGAAATACCAGTGCCATCAGGAGGTCCAGCAGTGGGGCCAGGACATTAGAAGCCCTCCCACTGTTGACCCCCCCCCAAGCACCAAGAAGACAGAGCATCACTTGCCCCAGAGCCCCTAGCTATACCTTGTGGCTAATAGCCACTGATGGACCTCTGCTCCATATGCTTATCTAATTCCCTTTTGAAGCCGTCCATGCTTGTAGCACCCACCACTTCCTGTGGCAGTGAATTCCATGTGTTAATCACTCTTTGGGTGAAGAAGTACTTCCTTTTATCCGTTCTAACCCGACCGCTCTGCAGTTTCATGGAGTGCCCACGAGTTCTTGTATTGTGAGAAAGGGAGAAAAGTACCTCTTTCTTTACCTGCTCTTTCCCATGCATAATCTTATAAACCTCGATCATGTCACCCCTCAGTCGTCTTTTCTCCAAGCTAAAGAGCCCTAAGCGCTTTAACCTTTCCTCATAGGGAAAGTGTTCCAACCCTTTTATCATTCGAGTTGCCCTTTTCTGCACTTTTTCCAAAGCTATAATATCCTTTTTAAGGTGTGGTGCCCAGAACTGCACACAGTATTCCAAATGAGGTCTTACCATTGATTTATATAGGGGCATTATTATATTGGCTGATCTGTTTTCAATACCCTTCCTAATAATCCCCAGCATAGCATTGGCCTTCTTTATTGCAGTCACACACTGTCTCGACATTTTCAGTGAGTTATCTACTACAACTCCAAGATCTCTCTCTTGCTCAGTCTCTGCCAGTTCAGACCCCATCAATGTGTATTTATATTTAGGATTTTTATATTTAGGATTTCTTGTTCCTTCAGCTTTTTCTTCCCACCATTCTCTTCTGTGTAACATGATCACTCATTTCAAAGATTATGCACAAGATATAGGATGTAGGCATGTGCACCAGAAGGGAAAAAAACCTGTATTTTTTAGATGTGGATTTCAGGGAAGGTGTAACCATCAGTATGCCAATAAAGGCTTGTCAAAGTCAATCAGTATTCTTGATTAGTTGAGTCTCCAATACCAGTTCAGTATCCAGATTCAGTGGTTCTTCAGGATTCTGAAATCATTCAGGCCCATTGTTCCCTCTGTGGAATGTTTTCAGGGGGGTGGGGTAGCTGTTTTTTTTTTTTTTTAAGCAAATGACACCAAAACTTCCATGGCCTTAGTGATGCCTGTCCACAAAAGGCATCCCCCCACCCAAGTTTCAAGTGAATTAGAACTAGGACTCCAATTCTATGGGGACCTGAATAAGGTGCACACAGTCATCTTCCATGGTTTCCTGTGGTGCCTCCTGTGGTGCCTCCCAATGCAAAAAGTACAAACAAGCCCAATGAAATCCAATGTCAAAACAGAGACTCCCAACAGAAACACAGGCCAACATGGCAAATCCAACACAACCAATTTCAAACCAGAAAATCCACCCAAAGCACCTAAAGCAAGTAAAGGGACACTATTTCCAGCCCAACAGAACCAAGCAGGAACCAGGACCAATATGGCAGTGAAGCTCAACAGAACCAATGTCAAACCAAAGAATCACAGCAGAACCAATCTAATATTTGATCCCATTTGCCCATGAACACAGCTTCCACCCTCCTTTCTGTTGCCCGGGAAACCTGCAAAAGGCAACCCCACATTCTTGGAGCTTTAAAAGACCAGCCCTGGATATTCCTGGATATTCCTAAAAATACCTTATCAGTGTTTTCCAGAATATTTCCAAGAATATTCAAAATAGGGATATTGGTATTGCTGAGATTCTTGAATATCTATCCAGTTTCAAAAATATCTGGAAAACACTGATAAGGTATTTTTAGGGCATATATTTGGACCAGATATATCCAAGTGCATGTCCCTAACAGGACATCTTTATCTGGCAAGCCAGACTTTGGACCGATCCCTGTACTGTTGAGCAGGTAGTGCCTTGCTTCCCAGAAAAGTCAATCTGCTCAGCTTAACCACATATTACCTTATTTCCTGGATCTACCAAACTAGATGAGCACTGGGAATTCTGTGTTCTCCCAGCATTTTTTTAAAACTCTAAGGTACATGGGGCCATTGCAGATCCTGCCTATGGCATACAGGAAGAGCAGGTGTAAATCTTCCCTCAAACCATTTTCCTAACCTGAAGATTCTGTGTTAGCAGTCAGACCCCTCCTCTCGCAGAAGGGCAGTTTATAGCTTATAGAGGTAGAAACAACTCTCCATACATCACCCCACAATCTTACTGAAAGGCATTGCTTGGGTCAAATGGATGCCAATGAGGCATCAGCGTGGGAAAACTATTTCAAAATGTGAGTCAGGGCGACTGGCTGGCTACTACTCCCTCCTTGCCCAGGAGAGATGCAGGACATTAGAACAATGGGTCACCCAGGAACTATTGATTCACTCAGCATAATCCCATCAACACCCCAGCCTCACTTCCCTTCACCCATTACCCCTTGATTAAGTGACAATTAATTAACATTTAAATCTTTTCACCTTCCCAATTGCCCTTCCCTTCCAGTACTTGTGGAGCTATCAGGCCTCTCACACTTTTTCTTTTGTCTACTTCTGGAAAAACCATTTAAGTCATTGTTTTCTGGCAAGCATATCACCCTCACCTAAAGGTACATTTTGCCCTATAATTATGGCACCCTGCTACCCAGCAGTGTGTGCGTGTATGTGCCTTGGATCCCTCCTCCCAACCTCACTTTTTGGTGGGCTCTCCTCTCTTGCTTCCCAAAACACTGGCCATTTTGCTCTTCAACTTGCTGCTTCTGTGGACCTCGTCATGATTGGTAAGTATCGCTGTTCCCTAAGAAGCTTTCCCTTTCCTCCCTACCTTTCTTAGTTAGCTCTTGTATGTGTCTTGTGTGAGTTTATTGTGTGCATTTTGGTTTTATTCATTTTCTTTTAAATAAAAACCTTTCCAGTTGAACATCTGCCTGGTTTATTTGAGAGTTCTCTTAAACTCTGGTAGATACATAGGTATATGAAGGTGGACAAACTCAGTTACCCACATCTCACTCAGTCGCTCAGAGCCAGTTTGGTGTAGTGGTTAAGTGTGTGGACTCTAATCTGGGAGAACCGAGTTTGATTCCCCACTCCTCCACTTGCAGCTGCTGGATGACCTTGGGCGACTTAAATCACCTAGGAAAAGTGTTGTACATTAATTCTTTGTCTTCTGCATTTTCCTATGACGGATTGTATGGACACATATATTTCATGTAATAGATACATTTCACTTTAAATAAAGTTTCCTTTGTTATAATCTTGCAAGAAATGTAGCACTTTCCCTGTATGTCATAGTTCCAACCTGAATCAGGGCCCCTATACTCTTGAGAATTTTGTTTCACAACTCACTGCAAGCTCTGAACACAGAAATCCCAGCAAAATATGTTCAGAGGTGGTTTGCCATTGCCTGCAGCTATATAGCAAACCTTGTAGTTCTTGGTTGTCTCCCAACCACACACTGACCAAGACTGACCCTGCTTAGCTTCTGAGTTCTGCTGAGATCGGGCTATCATGAGGTAGGGTTTGTATCCACTATGGTTATTTATTATCCACAGTGCTTACTGTAGTTGACTTAGTGATAACCTTTTATTTATTTATTTATTTATTTATTTATTGGATTTCTACTCCGCCCTCCCAGCCAAGGCCGGCTCAGAGCGGCTTACATAAAAACAATACATAGTTTACAATACAACATGAATATAAATTTATATTAAAACAATTCTAAAATCATTCACTGTACAACATAATAAAGTGCTAGTGATATTAATTCCAGATGGCTGTAATTATTCAGTTTGTTCTTCTCACAGTCGGCTCTTCGGTCTTCTTTTAATTGTCTTCCCAGCAGCTGAATCAAGCTGTTATTAAAAGTTCTGGGGGAACAAAGGGCTCTCTCACCTTAAGCTCTCAGTTGTTAGTGGTGGTGGTGAACAGTGGTGGCGGCTCCAAAAGCCTGGTGGAAGAGCTCCATTTTACAGGCCCTGCGGAATGGCAAAAGGAAAAAAAACTAGACATATAGTGGGGCCCAACCTCAGGCTCATCATATTGTGGTACTTTGACTAACAGCAATAAAAAGAAAGCAGATAGTCAGTATCCATAATTAATCATTTCAAAATCCAGAATCCAGAATCTGTCTCTTAATATGGCAGGCTTGCAGACATTGAGTTTCCCAGAAACTGTTTTATTCTCAGAACTGCAACATATGCAAGTACTTTGGAGTTCCAAATGCTAAAAAAAAACCCACCAAAAATTTCCCCCCATGAACCCTCATGGATTACAATGAAACAAGAGAAGTCTCTTCTGTTTATGTTTTGAGCAATTCTGGAATATTGGCCACATTTCAAGAATTTTTAAAAAATAATTATTCAAGCCAATATTCTTTCATTTGACAAGAACTGTTTCTCTGAAGTTTCCTGGCTAATAAAGAATTGTCCACTCACTCCACTGGAAAGAGAGAGAGTCGAATCTGTGCAAAGGGAAAGATAAGGCAGATTTACTTTTCACAGGTCTAGTTCGGCGACACAGTTAATCAGTAACACAAGCTCATTTCCTTGGGATTGTAGTTTCCTCAGTATCCTCAGATGGTTGCTCTGTAATTATATTTGTCTGTTTCACCAAGCCAGCCAAGACTTCTATCTGCCCCCATACTAATACTTTCATACTAGGAACAAGCTTAGTCATGGCTCAGGCAGGAATGCGTGAACTTCTTGAAAAGGCGTTGGCAGAAGAGAAAGATATTAGTCCTTCAGATCGGATGTTTTTCCATAATGGAGAGATGTATCCTACTATTATTTGTTGCCCAGGAACACTGAAAATTCTTGACACCTTTGAAGCCAGGAGTGATGATGTGATTTTAGTTGGATACCCCAAAACTGGTGAGTAACTCTGTCTTTCAAGGAATACCTTGGTCTCTGTGTTTGTATGAGTGGGCAATGGGCATGCATGTGAAAATTCATTATTCATGCATATCAAAGTTCTAATGAATATCACTAGAGAGAGAGAGAACTTTGTGACAGGTTGAATGAACTCTTTTTAAGACCACAGCAGCATAAACATGGAATAAATATAAGGGGAAGGGGAGTCCATTCTGTGTATTTTCAGAACTATACAGATCATAAAAGGAAGGTTGCTTGCTTTGATTTAAATTAAAATACAAGCATTACAATCAGATGCAAAGTAAGGTCACTGGCCAATGTCATACCTGTCCTGGTATCATTCAGCTGGACTACTGTAATGCAATCCATGTCTGCATGGCTTTCCGGTCTGCTGCTGAGCCCTTTTCAAGATGCTGTTTGACCTATAATTCTGCTTTAGGTTTCCCCAAACCCTATCAGCATATGAAAGCTCACTAGGGCATTATCATATACATAGTGGCTGATTGGGCCATATGGGAACTGGGCAGATATTTCTGTAAACCTGGGGGAGTTTACACAGGGAACAAAGAACAAAATATTGCATCTTCTATGAGCTTGGGGCTGTTAGTGAAGCAATAAGCATTTCACATATCTAGAACACTATGGTTCTTACATACACATATGCTCTGACACATTGTGAAGATACACTTGACAGTTTCAAATGCAACTAAACCTTCTAAACTAACGGTATACTAAATTGCAAAAAAAGTATCCCCCCCCCCAATCTTCTGTTGATAAGCACCCAGTGCCCACGACATTATAGTGGTGATCATCTCACACGCATACCATTAGAACTCTCAGATACCGTGCTGTGAACTTCAGTTTTGTGTCTGTTGTGGCTACATGTCTGAGGATAACGTTTTGTGTGTTTTCTGCATTGCTTCAGGAACTAATTGGGTTGGTCAGATTTTAGTTGAGTTGGAAGCTGCATCTGGAAAATATGATGAAAAAGAAAGGAAAAAGAGGAGTATGCAGCAAAGAGAAAAGGAATTATCACTATTCCCATACCTTGAATTTGGGGATCCGGGAAAATTTGAGGTCAGTAATTGAAGAAATATACTACAACTTCTTTCACCATCCAAAATAGCTAAATAATAGATTGGGATACTAATAGTTATTTATTTATCAAATTTATACCCCGCCCTCCCAGCTGAAGCCTCTAGTCAGTGCAGCTGGTGGTGGTGATGCAGACCCTGTAGATGGTTGGCACTGCACTGTGAATGGGCATCCTGGCCTCTATCCCTGTAGGAGGGTTAGGAGGGCTGCCTGGAAGCAACAACATTAGACATAATGAGCCAAGTTCAGCAGTAGCAAGGAAGAGCAAGTGGACTTACACAGTTTGTACAGGATGTTCTTAAAGTTTCTTCATGTTGGCCTTCCCCATGTTATGGATCAGTGTTTTACATGGTTGAATCCATCTATTTAATCCTGTTGTAGCCGTGGTAAAGATATTTATAGAATAAGTCTGAAATGGTACCAGTAAGCCTAAATAGCATGAGATTTTACTCATAGTGGCTATGCGACAAATTTTTGTTTCAATACTGTCTTAGTTCAATTTCTAAGAACTTGTGAAGACTGCTTTGTTTGGGAAAGCTTTTAAAGCAAGATAGTGAATTTGATTTTCCCTGCTGTACTATGCCAAACTTTCCGAGTTTTATTGTATTGGCTTTAAACCATTTTTAACACTGAGATTTAAACATTTTTAGATTACGTATTGGCTACTTTGTGATTAAGAAGCATCTTTAATGGATGGCACTTTGTGAACCACTTTGGGAATCTACAGAAAGTGGGCTATAAATATTTTAATTAATAAATAATAATATATATTTTTTTTAAAAAAGAGATGCTTACTGTCCTATTTTTGCCACATTTTAAAGAGGATGAAGCAACTACCTTCCAGAAGAGTGATAAAAACTCATCTCGCTCCTCAAAGACTACCCAAATCAATTTTTCAAAAGAAGGCAAAGGTAAGCGCCCTATTTAATATTTCATTCACATATGGAGGAACAAAGGAGGCAGCCTCAGAAGGACAACAAAAGACAAATTATGTCATGAGGCAGCTTGGAGAGAAAAAAGACCACTGCTGTTTGATACCGAAACCTGAGGGAAAGCCTTTATGTGAAAGACCCCTCAGATTGTTTGGCCTTCAGTCCTATCACAGGGGTGACCTACCAGCCCACGAAGGATTCCTGTGCAAGCTCCATCTGAGAGGAATGGAAGAAAAGAGCACAGCACTGTGATGAATTGCCCCCACCCATTTTGCGGAGGCCGGCCAGTCGCCGGGTCGGGGGGGAGGGGCCAAACGTGTGACAGTAAGGTAGGCACCTCCCCTCCCTCCCTGGGCCAATTGTTGGACAGTGAGGTGTCCGGAGGGAGTGGCCTGGGGTCTACGTGACCCGGGCCACTCACCATCCTCACCCATTCTGGCTGCAAGGGGAGCTTCTTGCCTGCCCATCCCTCTCTGTTTTAGGGCCTGTGTAAGGGGAAGGACATAGAAGAAGGGGTTACTGGTAAAAGGAGTGGTGGGTCAGCTTTGTTGTGTAGTTAGTTTCGATACTTAGTTCCAGGGCACATGTTTCGTCACAACTCTTAGCGGTGACAGCATGGGGCTGGTTCCGTTTGGTGGAAATCGGCTTGCGTGCCATTTTTTGGATGTGTGGACCCCTATAAGGGTCTTGGCATGAGGGCCGAAAGGAACAGGCAAGCACAGAGACTAACAGCGATGGCCCTCACCGCCAGGTGGCAGGGAAGTTCACACAGGGGCAGGCGTCCAGGTAAACCCCACCAACCTGCCATCCTGCAAACTCTACCCATGCCGGCTGGCTGGGTAACGGATACCTCGGCTGGCAGAAGGGTCAGCCGACGGGTTGGATCTGGTGGACCCATGCTGTGCCACTGCCTGTAACATCTGTAATCAATAAAGTTGTGGCCAATTTTATCCACCTAATTTCCACAAAAAAAAGTGTGTGAGTGATCATTTTGAACGGGGCAGTGTATGGCTGGCCAAGCCTCCCCATCCTGAATACGACCTGGTACCACAAAGGAGCACAGTACTGTGATGAATTGCCCCCCCCCATTTTTTTAAAAAACCCTGCTGTCTGACTTGCTGTTTATTGGAACACATTTTTACATGTATGTTTGTGTTTTATAGATACTGGTTTTGTTTCGGAATCCAAAGGACACAGCTGTCTCTTACTTACATTTTTCAAACAGTATGAAATTGTTTCCAACCCAAAAAACCTGGGATGAATTCTTTTCAGACTTCAGCAGTGGAAAAGGTGTGCTTGCTTCTTCTTTTAGCCTTTCCAGTAAATTCTCGGATAAATGCAACAGGAGTAAGAACAAAAAGGGTCTCGTTCTTAACTATGTGATCTCATAGAATGTCTGCTGTAATGTGCAATGATTTTATAAGGAAAGTTAAAGAGAACCTGGCAGAATTGTTTCATGTCCTAATGTAAAGCCCATTTTGGCTATCCCTAGTAGCTTAATATCTCCACACTAAATGCACATCACAGTAACCATGTTCAGTGATACTATAACACAAAATTGCTTGTCACATGGAGATAAGGAACTCCATAGCATTATGTTACTGTGATGCACCTTGTCCAGTCACACAGAGTGCATACCACCTTCTGCAACCTCTCTTCTTCAAGTTATGGTTTTTTAAGTAGGTCAGGACATTACTCTTGCCACCCTTTTAACATCTACAGAGAGTTATCACCATCTCAGGTCCTCTTTCTCACTTCCAGAGATATCCACAGCCCCCTTTCATAATCAGTCCTCACTCACACAGAGCTATTGGGGTTGGGGCTCAAACACTGTTCCAATCACTCACTGCCACCATTCATTCATATTCTAAAATATATGTGTGGACCAAGATATTAACTCAGAAGTGTGTGTGTGTGCTTCTTCCCCATAGACATGCAGCCCATATGGTTAATCGAAACAAGAAGCTTTTATTTATAAGAACAAAACACTGAGAAAAGTATAAGAACAAATGTTTCTTCCATTGAACCTTTGCACTGCAGTAAACCTACAACTGAGATTCTTTAGTTACAAATGTACTACTTTCAGCTTGTTCCAAACAACTCTTCTATACAGTTCCCCTCAGTCATAAAAACCTTTTCCTCCGCAGCCCTTAATCTATCAGCTTCTCAGCTACTAACCTCTGACTGTTGTTTTTCAAGTCTCCTTCTTTCAACCTTCCATCCTCTCTAATTGGTTTCTCTTACATTTCATGTTTGAGATGCGATTCTGAATGCCAGCTCACGTATACAAAGGGTGTTTTTTGGGTGGGGTGGGGGTTCAGAATTTAGAAACTGGGTTTCTAAACCTCAGTTTGTGGCTGGCTTTTGGATTGTTGTGATGCCTGAATAATGTAGAAATCCTAGCACCACTCCTCTCAGCTTCATGCATACAGAGGCAGTGTCACAGAGCAGAAGAAAAATGTGTCTGCTCTATCTTCATACAGCTGTTAATACACTTTCTTAAGACATTCCCTTTTTTTTTTACCTCTGACATCTCTCCACCCACTTTCACCCTTTAAGAAGCAGCATGGAAAAACCAACAAAAGAATTCCAACTGACTCAGAAGTAGCTCATCTCTTTATACTTTAGATGGACTGTGGCCCCTGCCACATGGAGGGGGGGGAGCACGGGCAAAGTGCTTTTGAAAGCCGCACCAAAAGAGACACGCGGCGGTGGGATCACATAGATCCCCTGAGCCACCGCGCAGTTGTTCCAGAAGCATCCTTTATACATCTCCTTTGTAGGTGTCGCCTCATTACATATGAAACTGCCCTGTGATCTTGTGCATGCAGGACATGACTTTCAATAGTAAGGCCTCACACTGGAAAGTTCATCGAAATTTTATAGAAATCCTTGGACACTAACTTATTGGAGTTTTGTTACAAGAACATTTTCTGCTGTTTTCCTTTTAGTGCCTTATGGTCTTTATTTCAACCATATTATTGAATGGAACAAGTATCTGGATGACAAAAATGTCATGTTTATTACCTATGAGGAAATAAAAGAGGTGAGCATTATTTTATTTTATTTTACTTCTGACACAGCATGGCTGCGGTCACATGTGCCAGGTGAAGCAGAGGGGAAGTGAAGCTATTCCCTCTGGAGGAATTTGACATGCAATTGCAAGATCACACCTGCCTTTATAGGTGCAGGCACAGCCTGTCACTGTGTGATCAGACACAATTGCAGGTGAGTCGGAGTGGTTTTTTGGCCATTTGTTTCCGATGCGCATAAATGAGGAATCGCACCTCCACACTGAGGGCCCCCTATGGAGTATGCAATGATGCGCATACTGCAAAGAGGAAGGGGGAAATGTGGCACCGAGCCTGGATGGCCTCATTAGACCATTCCGATGGCTTGAGAGCATGCTTGAGCAATCAGACAGGGGAAAGCCTGTCCATGGCCCATTGGAACCCGTTTACTACCGGACTTTCTCCGGTGTCTTTTAACTCCGCTTCTGCGGTGGAGAAGCACAGGTTGCCGATGACTGCAGGATGCTTCCCAGATGTTGCTGTCCGATCGCTCCATTTAGACCTGTCAGGCATTCGCACCTATGTCAGATCTAAAGGCGCATGTGATCACAGCCCATGTTAATCAAACGCTATCCAAGAAATAAAGCTAATAGGATTTAAATCAGGATTTCTGCTTGATAGTTTTTCATGCTTCAGTCCATCAGAAATATTTTCTTTTAAAATTCGGCCTCTGGATCTATTCATTCAGCCTTTCTGTCTTTTAATCTGTGTGAACATGATAAGTTATTACTAACTAATAAACAATTTCAGCCTGTTGACCATTAGAATGCCTTTGTGTGTCCTTGTGAACTGCATAATACTTATTTATATGCAAGTTCACATCTGGAAATGAAGATACAACAGTTCCTAAAGCAACATTGCTTTAATCTTAAAATGCAAATAAACATCTTTTCTGAATGAAGGTGAACTGGGGACTTTTAAGGTTTATGTGAGGGCTACTTCATTCAACAGCAATGTACTTGTTTGTTTTCCTGTATTCAGAATGCAGCTCTGGGAATGAAAAGAATGGTTGACTTCTTTGATTTTTCTGTAAGTGAACAAGAGATTCAGTCCATTGTGGACAAAACTACTTTCAAAGCCATGAAAGATCGAGCTTCAGAAACCCACGGAGAAATAGCCAAGAATCTTTTCCGTAAAGGTAAATTCTGATATATTTGATTGGATTGGTCAATTGTCTATAGGTTGTTGTCCATCTTAGCTTGCTCTGTTCACATCTATCTTCTATAGCAGCAGCTGTTTCCTCCCCTGCTTCCAGGTTACTTTTTCATGTTTTTAATGTAATGCAAGTTTAAGGTCCAGGGACTCCTTTCCTAAAGTCCCTTTCTGCTACTCACACACCTTGGTTAAAGCAAAACTACTGTATTTATTGTAACAGAGGGAAATACAGTTTGCACCTTTGGATGTGGTACTCCCCACACCCAAAACTCTTTTCCCTTCCCAAACTAGGGTTGCCAGGTCTGGGTTGGAAAATACCTGGAGACTTTGGGGGTGGATCCAGGAGAGGGCGGGGTATGAGGAGAGTGAAAAGTACTGGGTTCGCCGCATGGAGGACTCGGACAACAACATGCTATAGCACACGTTTATTGTACTTTACATAGACAAAGACTAACTCTAACGGCCAACAAGGCCAACTATATACATATCCACCAGCAACCCCCCCACCAGAGTCTGAAGATGACTGATGGTCTATCAAGTTTTCACTGTTCACTAAGAGTGCAGCACTCAGCTAATATCCTGGGTTTTGAACATACTGTCATCTGGCACAATCGGTTTGGCAGGAGGTAGCTCCTGTGGCCGTGTAGCCGGTGTCCTGGAAGCCGTGTTCTCTTGCAGGACCAGGCTCAGCTATAGTTCCTCCGAACCAGGCCGCCAATGTGAAGTGAGGTTGTGAGGGCCACCATGCTGTCCAGGAAGTGATTTCAGCCAACAGAGGATAGGAAGGCCCATACTGGAAGAAACTAGTTCAGCTATGAGAAAGGAACCGCTCAGAAGCGAGGTCTTGAATGGAAGACACATGGAATTTGCTTTCTTTGTAGCTCCTACCTACTGCTTCCTTAGCTCAGGCCTTTCAGCAAAGAAGCAGTCATTTGGAATGAATACAGGCACTTCTAAAAAGCCGCTCCTCTCCCTTTTCTCTCAGTACAAAAATGACAAGCCCATGTGCTCTCCAATCTACCAAGGTTACAGAGAGCAAGCTGTTGGAAAAATTGGCAAAAGTAGTTAAATATTCAGAGATTGCAATGGATCTTTGCTTCACTGGAGAGCAGGCATTTTCTTCTATGTAAAAATCTTTATTTCTAAGGGAAGGGTTCACAGGAAATCTACAAAACAACAAAGACACCTAAGACTACATCTTTACACTTTGACCACACAGTCTACAACAATGGAGATTCTTCTTCTTGAACCCTAGAATGGAATCACCTGAATGCATTAACCAATGATTGTTAGTAAATAGGCTTCAGTTTCCCGGGCTCTATTCCCATTGGCTCTGTGCCAGGTTCCCTTCAGGGTCAGTCTAAATAATAGGACACGAGGTAAACACATTTAACCCTACAATGACTGGATTTTAGACTTTGCAACACACATATTTTCAACACAAACTAGCTATAATCACTCCTCTTGACATGCAAATCCACCCAGCATTCGTGCCTA